CCTTTCTTTTCTGTCAGTGATTTTAATAGTATGCTGTAGTGTTCAATTCAGTATAATTTTAAAAAACAAAAATGTGATTATGTACTATTTATTAGCATATGCTTTTATTTTCTAGGAAGCATTGTCTCACCCCAAACTGTTCTTCTCTGAGAAATGGCTCAATATGTTACAACTTTTCAGAAAAAACTATAGAAATCTGAATCTTTTAATGTGTAGTATGGTTTATATTACATGCAAGCAAGAGGAAAGCTAATCTTAAACACATAAGAAACAGGTAGGATATAAAAAAGCATATTGTCTAATTGAATTCTGAATATATTTTGGCCTTGGGACTTGTACAAGTTGCCAGGGACATTTTCTGGAATGGCACAGAAATAACTATTACGGTATTTAGACCCTTGAATTATAGTGGTGCAGAATTTCTTGAATTTGAAAAAGGTATTTGGGTAATAGTTCCAACCAGAGTAGGTGCAAACATGTAGAATACTACTTGTTTCTTTAAACATTAAGTTGATTTTCTCTGTTGCAATCATGTCTCTGTTAAAGTGTGATCATGTCTGCTGCAAACAAAATTAAACACTAACTCTATATGTTTAACATACTCTTTGTTGTTTCAATATATTTGCAGTTCTGCAAAGCTCAAAGTTCTAGCTAATATTCTTTAACTAGCAAAGCTTAGTTTAGGTAGAAGTCCACATTTTATCTGTATTTATCTTCCTTGTTTTTGCTACCCTTTTTCCTATTTCTAAAACCTGACTTTTAAAAAAAAAGTGAATTGATAAAAATTGTACTGGAACAAAAAAGATGATTGGAAGAGGGGGGGGGGGAGGGACAACACAGCAGCTATTGTGTACTCAACAATGGTGCCTGTAGGGTTTTAGACAGTAGAATCTCTTATTGAGAGAAAATATTGGCCAGAATGTTGGAGCTGTTGGTCCTAGTATGTTTTTGTTTTTCCGAGTGCCTTCCATTAGACTTTTGGTCATATATTTGTTAAAATCACATTACAACTCAATACATTATTATCTACATTAAAACATTGAGCTTGAATATTGAATTTATCAATCTATGTTTAATGTAATAGTTATATTTTCTACTGCAATAATATCCTATAAAATTGTAGGGAAACATATTTGATATTTTCCCTACTTGCTTTGTGAGTATGTGAGCAGGAAATTATTTTTGATCTTAAAATTTATTGTTAGCTTTGCATAAAGTGTGTTGGTTTAATAAAACCTGTTTAAATCATTGAACCAAATAGGATAGATATAGAATTGCTGTTTTCTCTTCTTTGATGACTTGCAACTTTCTTTGAGTGGAAAACCTTTATTCTCCATAATTAAGTTGCCATTTTGTAGCACTGCACTGTGGATATTGGACACAATAAGAATATAGGAACGTGTCTTATATATGCTATGTGGCAGTTTCGAAATCAGTATGTTTCGATTGGTAAATCAGAGCACATTCATTGGTGATACTAGTTTGAGGAAAAACTTCGAAAAAAATTATCACACCAACTCACTGTTTATCAGCAGTTGTATTAAGGTAGATAGTGTTGAACATATTCGATTTCGTAACAGCTGTACTAGTGTAAATAGATGGGAGCCCCTTTGATATTTCACCTCTCTTAGTTGCACAACTGTCAGTTTGCCCATCTGGTCCTGCAATAATTGTTCCGCACAACCTTGTAACCCAGCCTTCCTGCACTATTCCCTACTCAATCTTACAGCTCATTTTGAATTCTTTTTATTTTTAGTGAAATTGCTTAATTGATGCATTAAATTGGCAAAGAAAGAAAGAATTTATATATACAGTATACACACACACCTGTGTTTTTATATGTATGTATATATGTATATACATATATGTCAGCAAAGCAACCTCCTTGAAAATAGTGAGCCACAGGAGAGTGAAGAGGAGAATTCCACCCACTGATGTCACGTGATTGCTGGAATACAAGGCAAAGGCACACATAGTACAATGGTAGATAGTGGGAACTTAATAGGACGGGGAGCAATTATTGATAGATCAATGGCTAGGGATGGAAGGCTCAATGCGGGGGGGGGGGGGGGGGGGGGGGGGGGGAGACATGTGGCAAAACAGTGGTGGAAGGAACATGCCATCATGATTGAAAGCAGCTACTTTTTGTTGGTGGAAATACTACTTTATTGTTGGAACGGTGACACACTTCTCCACTTATGCTATGACCCCAGAAATGGATCAAAGGGCGGTAGTGACACAACCATCCATTTCTATGCTGTCCCTATCTCCATCAACAGCTTTGATACCGGCAGCACTGCAATCTCCTATAGTTCTCTAGATTACAGCTGTCTTGCCCTTTCAGCAATTACTTCACATTTTCAGTAGCAGGTTAATCTATACAAATGACATCACCCACTCACCCAAAACAATAGTCTGCTTCATTTTGACTGTTGTACCAAAAGTATTGATAAAGGACTTGCAGTATCCATCCAGCAATTGAAGTTAGTTTGAGAAATAAATGGCTGATTACAAAAATGCTTTCCCATGTAAAATGGCCATGTGATATCATAATCTTCAAGGTAATCATATCTGGAAGAAAAATGTTTATGAACCAATCTTGTTGCCCACCTGTCAACTATAGTACATCTTGTAAAGAATTTGCAGGTTTCTGTTCTCCTCCATCCCTGATCTTTAGACTGCCTGTGTACCAGGATGGCAAAACAACAGAAAACTTCATGCACTATGAAGTATTATTTTGTATTTATAATGATAACAATTTGAGTTAATGAGTTTCTCATTTCTAAACAAATAGTTCAGGGGTTTTTAACTTTAGGATATCTCTTTTTGAAATGAATTGCTGAAATAGTGTATAAGATACTTTTTGTATCTTTTACTGTTCTCTAACAAGTGAAATGTGATACCATTTGTTGATTAATGCATTCATATCCTTTGTAATAGTAGGTTAAATGTAGTTGCATAAGGGTCATTGGTTCTTTGTTCAGTTTGTGACATAGAATAGTAAAACTCAAGTAAAACTCAAACTCTCGACAGACTCATTATATAACCTTTTATATTGTTTGGAGGTTGTGGGTTCCTTTGTCACGTTTCCTGATACAATTTCTATAATTTACGTAGATTCTTGTTCAGAAATTAGATATGCTTCTAAATCCTAAATTATTCAGTGCTAATGCATGCTTCCAAATTCATGCCTAGCTTCATTTAGGCTCACTACTTTTGTACATGTATAGTTGTGTAGCATTTTGGGGTGGGGGTGGGGATCTGGAGTGGATTCAGTGAAACCTATGACGACAGAAAAATTGTCGCAGGATTTGAAAAAGCTGTTGTGCTTCAGCTTGTAAGTGCTTTTAAGACCTTCAGAGGGTTGTTTAAAATGCACAAAAGGAAAATATGCTAAAAGTGTATTTTACATCACGCACAGACAGGTAGGATCTCATATGATCTTTACAGTTTATCCTTTTCTTTTGCTTCTCTGCCTCAACCATTCCAAATATTAATACCATTTCTTCATTTTGGTTTTTTTGTTATGCTGCTTTTCATTTAGCTATTTTATAATCTTCATTATAGCAATATTTTCATTAAAGCAATCTTTATTTTTAGTCTGTTATACACTGCTTTCTGGTTACTTTTTTAAAAGTGTGCCTTCTGGCTTTTATTTCTCACCTTTGTAACTCATATGGGGCAAGGAAAGAGTTTGATCTACAGAGTAGAAGAGAAAAGGAAATCTTGTCAGATTTAACTACATCAAATTGTTTAAGAACAGTTGCTTGGTTCATCTATAGTGTGCAAAGAGTGTTCAGACTGGACCACATTATATATTGCCAACCTTGAGATTGTGGCTCCAGTTTATGTAGGAACATTAGTGTCATCTTTCAGGACTGTTTTAAACCCAGGTCGTCTCAAAATATAATTAGCAAAAGGAGCAGAAAATTGTAGCAAATTTAGCTTTCGATGTGGGAGGATCCAGCCCTGCTATTTCCTGTTCCTTTATTAACCACTAGCTGTGCCCTGCCACGCGTTGCTGTGGCCTATAGTAAAACTTATCAAAGTTGAGGTAGATATCTGGACTATTATGAAAGAGAGGTACCTACCTATTCCTTCCCCCTTTTCCTCCCCTTTCTCTCCTTTCTTCCTTCTCTACCTCTTTCTTTCTTTCCTTCTTTCACTACTTGGTTTCATCCTTCTCTCTTTCCTTCATTCCCTCCCCCTTTCTTCCTTTGCCTTTCTTCCCTCCCTGTTTGCTTCCTTCTTTCACTTTTTATTTCCTTTTATTTCACCACCATCATAACAATAACAATAATGCAATGCATTGCCTCTGGGACCTGACACCTCTCCCATTCCCCCTAAAAGGGTCTCATAGGAATAATAGCATAATAATAATAGAAATAACAACCTTTACCCGCCACACGTTGCTGTGGCCAACCTTCCCTCTTTCTCTCCTTCTTTCCTTCCTTCCTTCTTCCTTCCTTTCCTTCCTTCCTTCCTCCTTTCCCTCCTTCCTTCCTTCCTTCCCTCCCATCTTTCCTTCTCCTCTTCCTTCTCTATCTCTTTCCTTCCTTCCCCCTTTTTCTTTCTCTTCTGGTCTCTTTTCTTCCTTCTCTCTTTCCTTCTTTCCTTCCCTCCCTCTTTCTCTACATCTTCGCCCTTCCTTCACTCCCTCTTTCCTTCCTTCATTCCTTTTTTCTTTCCTTCTCTCCTTCCTTCCTTCCCCTTTTTTTTTTTTTTTTTTCTTTTTTTTTTTTTTTTTTTTTTTTTTTTTCTTTCCTTCCTTTTTTTCTTTCTCTTCTGGTCTCTTTTCTTCCTTCTTTTCTTTCCTTCCCTCCCTCTTTCTCTACATCTTCCCCCCTCCTTCACTCCCTCTTCCCTTCCTTCATTCCCTTTTTTCTTCTCTCCTTCCTTCCCCCTTTTTCTTCCTCTTCTGGTCTCTTTTCTTCCTTCTCTCTTTCCTTCTTTCCTTCCCTCCCTCTTTCTCTACATCTTCCCCCTTCCTTCACTCCCTCTTTCCTTCCTTCATTCCCTTTTTTCTTTCCTTCTCTCCTTCCTTCCTTCCCCCTTTTTCTTTCCCTCCCTCTGTCTCTCATTTCTTCCTTCTCTACCTCTTTCCTTCCTTCCCCCTTTTTCTTTCTCTTCTTCTGTCCTTCCTTCCTCTCTTTCCTCTTTCTCCTTCTTTCCTCTCTTCTCTTTTCCTTCTTTTTCTTTTCTTCCCTTCCTTCCCACCCTTTTTCTTCTTTTTCTTTCTCTCTCTCTTCTTTTCTCCTCTTCCTATTGCCAAATTTCTCATATGCTTTTCTTCGGCCTCAACGTCCCTCTTTTTCTTTCCTTTCTCTCATTTCTTCCTTCTCTATCCTCTTCTCCTTCCTTCCCCCTTTTTCCTTCTCTACCTCTTTCCTTTTCTTTCCTTTTCTTCTTCCTTCTTTCTCTAACTTTCCTTCCTTCCCCCTTTTTCTTTACCTCCCTTTCTCTTTCTTCCTTCTTTCCTTCCTTCCTGTCTTTCCTGGATTTTGACAGGGCGGGAAGGGGCAGGGTGGGGTTTGGAGGTGGCGTGAAGTAAAAGGAGGTAAGATTGGGGCAGGGGAGTGATGGAGCGTGGGGTTGTGTGTGTGTGTGCGGCGGCGGGGGGAGTGATGGAGCGTGGGGTTGCGTGTGTGTGTGCGGCGGTGGGGGGAGTGATGGAGCGTGGGGTTGTGTGTGTGCGTGTGGCAGGGGGGTGTGTGTGCGGATAGCGGCGCGGCAGGGATTGGAGTGGGCATGGCTTCCGCAGAGGGAACGTTGGCCGGAAGGCTGTGTGCACGCCCAGGGAACTTGCGGCTGGGCGCCAATGCGCATGCTCAGTTGTTTTGCCGTATTGTGAGTGTGTTGTTGTGTTGTTTTTCATTTTGAGTAGATATGTTTGTACCTTGTGGGTTGTGTTATGGGCATGGGAATTTTGGTTAAGTTTCGTTGGGATTTTTTTGAGTTTTGTTGTTTTGCCGTTTTGTGAGTGTGTTGTTGTGTTGTTTTTCATTTTGAGTAGATATGTTTGTACCTTGTGGGTTGTGTTATGGGCATGGGGATTTTGGTTAAGTTTCGTTGGGAGGTTGTGGAGTTTTGCTGTCCCGTTGGACCAACCTAACAGATTTATAAGTTGCTTACCTGTAACTGTAGTTTCCTGAGTAGTCACCTGTGAATTCATACATTTAGTATTCGCGCTTGCGCAATACAGCTTTCGGAACCTTCCAGAAAAAACATTTCAAACCCAGCTAGGCCCACCCACCTCCCCCGAGTATAAAAGGCCCGTGGGCGGGCCTAGCCAGCAGTTCTCTTCCGCCGCAAAGCAGCAGGAAGGCGTGGCATGAACTCGAGGGGAGGATGGGAGGGTATGTATGAATTCACAGGTGACTACTCAGGAAACTACAGTTACAGGTAAGCAACTTATAATTTCCTGTCGTAGTCACTGTGAATCATACATTTGGTAGAATAGCGAGCAGTAGAAAAAGGCTGGCGGGGTTCATGCCACCGCTGAAAACAGGACCGCTCTACCCAGTTGAGCCTCACGCGCAGAGACAACGTCTAGCTTGTAGTGTCCCACAAACGATAACGGGGAAGTCCATATAGCTGCCCTGCAAATCTCATGGAGAGGGATGCCCTTCCAATGAGCAGTTGAGGTGGACACCGCCCTAGTAGAATGACCCCTGCTTGGTAATGGTAAGTCTCTACCAGCCATTTTATAACAAAGTTGAATCGTGGAAACGATCCAGGATGAAAGTCTCTGTGAGGAGACAGGGAGACCTAACACATCTGGGCGATATTTGACGAATAGTCTAGTGGCCTTCCTGATAGACGCTGTCCTGTCAGCGTAAAAGGCCAAGGCCCTACGGACGTCCAAAAGGTGTAAACCCCTCTCCAATGGAGTAGTCGGGTCTTGAAAGAACGCCGGCAAAATCAGCTCCTGGGACATGTGGAATCTGGAGGCAACTTTTGGGAGAAAGGCCACATCAGTACGTAAGACCACCTTGTCTCTGTGGAACCTGAGGTAAGGGGGGTCGGCCCGTAAGGCGCACAGCTCGCTGGATCTTCGGGCCGACGTAACAGCCACCAGAAAGGCTGTTTTCCATGAGAGATAAGGAAGGCTAACAGACGCCAGGGGCTCGAAAGGGGGTCTCATCAAAGTATTTAGCACTAACTCTAGACTCCATCCCGGGACTACTGGGGTGACCGGAGGTCTAGTGTTTAACACCCCTTTGAGGAAAGTTTTAATCAATGGGTCTGCAAAACAGGAGGGGAGACCGTGCTTTCTACGGAACCAGGAGATCGCCGCCAGGTAGCATTTGAGTGAAGAGTGCGAGAGCCCTGCATCTAAGAGAGACATTAAAAAGTCCAGAACCAGGGGAGTCGGTGCCACATTGGGGTCCGCCCCCCGAGCTCTGACAAAGGAGCTGAATCGCGACCACTTGTAGAGGTAAGAGCGTTTAGTGGAGGACCTATGCGCTGCTGCCATGATGGTGAGTATAGATTCAGGTAAGTCTCTTAATGGGGTTACTCCGCCGGCAAAATCCGCCAGGCGATGAGTCTCAGCTTGTGGACCTCCGGGTACAACACCTGTCCCCGTTGAGAGGTTAGGAGGTCTACTTTGGGTGGCAGTCGAGTGAATCTCCCCTTGGCCAGTTGTTGCAGTGGAGCAAACCAAGGCTGTCTGGGCCACCAGGGGGTTATCAGAATGCAGTGCGTTCTGTCCGTCAAAATCTTGGCTACCACCCTCAGCAGAAGCGGGAACGGTGGGAAAGCATACGTTCTCTGATTCGTCCAGGTGTGGAGGAAAGCGTCCCCCAAACAACCCTCCTGTGGTGATGCATGCGTCCTTGCGCAAAAACGGGGGCACTTTGAGTTGGTTCGTGTCGCAAACAGGTCGATATTCGGGGTCCCCCATGCTCGGAAGAGTCTGTGTACCTCTTCCCTGTCTAGCGACCATTCGTGATGGGCTAAGGGGTTCCGACTGAGGGAATCCGCTAGCAGGTTCAACTCCCCCGGAACGTGCGTTGCTAGAAGGTGGATGTCCCTGTCTATGCACCAGTTCCAGATCTTGATGGTGAGGGCTAGGAGGGCTTGGGAATGCGTTCCCCCCTGTTTGTTGAGGTAATACATGACCGTCGTGTTGTCTGTGAGGACATGTATTACCTGGCCGGTGATTAACCTCTCGAAGGACAGTAGTGCCCTTTCTACGGCCATGAGTTCTATAATGTTTATGTGTAGAGCGCTTTCGTGGGCCATCCATGTGCCGTGAGCTACCAACCCTTCGGAATGAGCGCCCCACCCTGTGAGCGAGGCATCTGTGGTGATTGTCCTTGTGGCGTGTGGATTGTGAAAGGACATTCCCGCACAGGCCCATGAGGCGTCCATCCAGCACCGGAGGGAGGGGCGGACCCAGTGTGGTAGGCAGAGTTGCATGGAGGGACTGTCCAGCAGAGGGTTGAATCTGGACAGAAACCACGATTGGAGTGGTCGCATATGCAATCTGGAGTGGCGGATAACGGACGTAGTTGAGGCCATATGTCCCAGAAGCACTTGGAGGTGCTTGGCCGAAACGAGTGGAGCTCTCATGGTGTGTACCACTAGGTCGCGGAGATTGGTGAAGCGGTCCTCTGGGAGGAAGGCTCTCTCGGAGGTTGAATCCAGGATTGCCCCGATGAAATGAACGCGTTGGGACGGCACCAGGACCGATTTCTCCTTGTTGATGACCAGGCCCAGACACTGGAGGAGAGACAAAACCGTAGAGATATTTGCGTGAAGCTGATAGTGGGACTTGGCTACTAACAACCAGTCGTCAATATATGGGTAGACCGTGACGCCCTTGGTCCTAAGATGAGCCGCGACTACGGCCATACACTTAGTGAAAACCCGAGGGGCGGACGAAAGTCCGAAAGGTAACACATTAAAACAATAAGTGTGTCCAGACACTCTGAAGGCGAGGAACCTGCGGTGGTGTTGGGCAATTGAAATATGGAAGTACGCGTCTCTAAGGTCCACCGTTGCGAACCAAACGCCCTCAGTTAGTAGGGGAGTGATTGAGGCAAGGGTCACCATCCGAAATTTCTTTGGTTTAATGTGTTTATTGAGTAATCTTAAATCCAAGATGGGGCGCAGCCCACCACCGCGTTTGTCAATCAAAAAGTAGCGTGAGAAGAAACAAAACGTGGTAGCATTAGGATCCACCAACGATATGGCCCCCTTGTTTAACAATGTTTCAATTTCAACTAACAACTGTGGGGAAACGGGAGTGTCCCTCACGTGGCCCACCCTGGGGAGGTCTTCAAATTCTATGGAGTAGCCTGTCGAAACAATGGCCAAAACCCATGCATCAGAAGTTATATTGGCCCACTCTGCGGCGAACGGGGCAAGCCTATCCAAAAGGAGGGGGGTTAACCCCACCTGGGGTGTCGGTTCCGGTGCGGAAAGACAACGAGGGTACGGGGTTATAACTTGGGAATTAACTTCGGGAGAAGGAGGTGGGCACCGTTGGGGGACCCCATATAGTGAAGAGTCGGCATCAAAGGCGCTTCCTGGAGGCCCCTGGAGTCTTAGCCTTATCCTGGAAAGGGTTAGCCTTAGGTTTTTGAAAATAGGGGGTGCGACGCCCTCCCTGGAATCTGGATCCCCCTCCAGCCCTGTTCCTGAAGGGACCAGGGAAGGAGCTTCCGAATGGTTTACGGTAAGGAGAGGGCGACTGCCATCTATTTTTAGGTTGGGAGTACGGTTGCCATGAATAGCCGAATTTCGAAGCGGACTGTCTAACATCTTGTTTCTGTTTTAGACGGTCATCAGTATTGGGGTTGAACAACCCTTCCTCGTGGAAGGGAAGGTCCTCCGCTAGGGCTTTTCCCTCTTCTGAGAGGTTTGCTGCACGGAGCCAAGCATGGCGTCTTATGGACGTGGCGGTGGCGAACAGGTTGCCCGCTGTCTCCGCCGTATGCTTGGCAAAGTCCTTTTGGATTTTGGACAATGCCAGGGCCTCAACCTGCAGGGCTTTAGGGAGGCGTTGCTCTTCCTGTGGGAGGGCTTCTATGTGGGGTAGCATTCGGTTCCAAAGGAACGTTTGATACCCGCTCATGTATGTCGCATAATGCGACATACGTGTGAATAGGCTAGCGGAGAAATAGGCCTTCTTCCCTAGTACCTCCAGCTTCCTGCCCTCTCTGTCTGGAGGAGTAGTGACCGTATTCTTGGGGCGTTTGGTTTTGATAACTTTGGCCACCACAGTGTTTGCCCTTGGGGGGACCACCACCCATTTTGCATTTGACATATCAATCTTATACATGGAGTCCAATCGTTTAGGGACCGCCGGTACCGATGACGGAGGCATGTCCACCACCTTTGCCAATTTTAGGAGGTAGGGCAACATTGGGAGGGCCGATGAAGGGGTAGCGTGTTGCTCCTCTGAAGGGAACATGGGGTCCTCCACGTGCTCCGGTGGCTTAGGAGCAGGAATGTCCAAGGCTTTAATCATTCTTTCTATGAGGGCCGCAAACTTATGAAAATCAGGAGGCAAGACAGTTGGATCATCAGTTCCCTGAGGATCTAGTGGTTCAGAATCACAATCACTATCCCCTATCTCCCCAGCCTCTTGGGCAGGGCCCTCAGAAATTCTCATAGGAGTAGCGCCCTGTTGAACAGGGTCTAACCCCTCA